TCTCTAAGCACAGCAGCTGTCCATAGTCAGGTCATAGGGTAAGGTGACCCAACCCTCTCACCTGGTTACAAATCTTCTTAATCACAAAATTATCCAGTTTGTACATACCATTACTCAAATTCATGATGACAGATTCGGTATATTTAATGAGACTGGATTCTATAATGTTCCTACTGACAATTGAATTACAAGGTAATATTGAGGAGGCATTATCCCAGTCAATGCGATGCTTATTATCTCTCATATGAATGAACAGAGCATTGGATTCCTGGCCTGTCCTTACACTATATTTATGCTGTTTAAGTCTAGTTATAAGATCTTTACCCGTCTAGCTTAAGTAGAACATAGTACATTCCTTGCAAGGAACCTTGTAAATGCAGCTGCCTGCATTGTTGGGGGAGTTCTAAATTAATATTTATTTTACAGTGCATGAGTTCTAAAATGTCACATTAACGTTCCAGGTTTTCAGTTGTATAGGAATTTGAGATGATTTTTTTTAAATAGTAATACTAAGAGATTCTTATTGTCATGGGTTGGCTTAGGATCAGTTCTATGAAAAGATTTCTTGGTAATGTTAAGGCATTTGTCTATAAAAGACCTAGGGTACTTAAGGTTCAAGCCAATATTATAGATATATCTATATTGCTCATCAATGAATTCAGGATTGCATATTATTAGAGCACGTAAAAACATCGATGAAAATACTGACTGTTTGACTCAATTATGGTGGGCAGAATAATAATGAAAGTATGAACACACATTAGTAGGTTTCCTATAAATACTGAACTTAAAGGTGTTACCTATTCTGTGGATCAGACAGTCTAGGAATGGTTTTCAGTCATTCTCTAATTCCACAGTGAATTTGATCGAGGGGGCTAAGTTGTTAAGTTGTGGTAAAAAAGCTTTTAGGTCCTCATTCCATGGCCATAGACATATTACATCATCTACATATCTAAACCAGACTGCTGAAGGTTGGTAAATTTTACTTTATAGTTTCTTCTCAAAGAATTCCATATATATATATATATATATATATATATATATATATATATATATATATATATATATATATATATATATATATATATTTTTCATGAGCCCAATAAAGCACGCAGACCTCTATACAGTACAATCACCATGTCAACCCACCAGGATTCGAACCCACGGCCCACGAGCCCATGACTGTGACTGGGGAAAGCTACCTCTGGGCCACCAGGATACTAAAAGCAATCCTAGACTTTTTTATATTTCACACAAAGCCTGCTCAACGAGCTTATGGTCTGAACCCGGGTCACAATCATGGGCTCGTGGGCCGTGGGTTCGAATCCTGGTGGGTTGAGGTGTTGATTATATGTAGAAGTCCGCGTGTTTATTGGGCTAATGAAATATATATGGATCCTCGTGTTTCGAAGCCGCATTTGGTAAAACGTTGCTCTGATCACCTAAGCGGCACGGGTGGTCCCCATTAGAGGTTCTCGGCGCCATAAGCTCGTTTAACAGGCTTTGTGTGAAATATAGCAGAGTCTAGGACTGCTTTTATTGTCCTGGTGGTCCACAGGTAGCTCCTCGGTCATGCGGATTCAACTCTGGCGGTTGAGGTGTTGATTGTATGTATATATATATATATATATATATATATATATATATATATATATATATATATATATATAGAGAAGTATATATATATATATATATATATATATATATATATATATATATATATATATATATATTGATATAATCACGGAAAAAAGAGAAACAACGGAGCACCTTAGCTTTTGTCTTTATTCAAGACATCTTCGGAGGCAACTGGATTGACAAGGTACGATACAATACGGTCATTAGTTATGAGGTGAAAGAAGATTATTAGGGGTTGAAGGAAAAGTGGTGAAACTGAAATACAGTAGGAGTAGAAAGAATCTGGGCACAACCAGATCGCTTCATCTTTCCTATTGGTGTTTTATCTTTGTTCTGCTCCCTTGGGTCTTCAGACCTTTGTATTAATATTGGTTTATTTATATAATGCTGCTTATTATTATTATTTTTTATTTATTGTTGGAGTTAGTGAGCCCGCCCAGGTCCTTGTGTAACTGGGAGGGTAGTCACATTATTTATTTATTTATTTATTTATTTATTTTTTCTAAGGTGTTAGTTAAGTGTTAGTTGTCCTAGTCTAAAGGTACACTGTATGGAGAGGCCTGCCAGGTTCTTAGTGGAGCTGGTAGGTCACTCTCATCTTTTATTTTCTCTATTAATGTTTTATGTGTATGTGTGTATATTGGGGCAGGAGGTGGTTCAATTACTTCTTCCTGGCTGATGTAGCTGGGAGGGTAATCACGTTATTATTATTATTTTATTTTATTTTTTTTTCCGATGGAGTTAGTGAGCCCGCTCAGGTCCTTGTGTAGCTGGGAGGGTAGTCACTTTTTTTTTATTTATTTATTTATTTATTTTTACTAAGGTGTAAGTTAAATGTTAAATATTAGTTATGTTAGTCTAAAGGTACACTGTATGGAGAGGCCTGCCAGGTTCTTAGTGGAGCTGGTAGGTCACTCTCATCTTTTATTCTCTCTATTAATGTTTTATGTGTATATGGGGGCAGGAGATGGTTCAATTACTTTCTTCCTGGCTGATTTAAACCAACTGTGTTCTTGGAATTCTTCGTTGTCTATATTATTTATCCAATTTTGATATGTTTCTGTGTTAAGTTCAGTCACTTTTTTCCAAATATTTGCAGCTTTGTTGTGTATTTCTACATTGATTGCGAGGAGGTTTGCTCTCTTGTGTAGCTGTTCATTATTGATGTGAATACTAGCGTATTTTACATGTATATATAAATCTGAGGGGAGGCTATATTTTGTACTGCCTCAAGCCGATACGATACGAAGTCTTTAGTTAAGAGGTGAAAGAAGATTATTAGGAGTTGAAGGAAAAGTGGTGAAACTGAAATACAGAAGGAGTAGAAAGAATCTGGGCTCAACCAAATCGCTTCATCTTTCTTATTGGTGTTTTGTCTTTGTGCCTCAAACCAACGCTTGACTGCCTGACTTGTATGTATTGGACTGCGGTCTTGCACCATACATATAGGCTGTGGGTCTGGGATGGCATATGAGTTGCTGGGAGGATGGTTAGCAGTCCTGTTGAACTGGCAGGTAGACAAAATAGAAAACGCATAGCCAAACTGTAAGAAAACCCATGGACAATGAGACATTAGTAAAATATACTAGGTTTGTAGCACGTGCACACACATTATATACAGACCTATTGGTCCTTGCAAGGCTGTTTGGTTATGCTATGCTAACTAGTTTGCTAGGGTGAGGGAAAGTTTATATATATATATATATATATATATATATATATATATATATATATATATATATATATATATATATATATATATATATATATATATATATATATATTATAACATATATTTAACTCTTTTTAACAAATGCAAGGATGTTGCCCCGTGAGAGTTACCGTGGGCCTCCATGTGCCCAGGTGGGATGGTCAAAGTATTACACTATAAGTGTGTCGAATGAGGAGTGACTGATCCACATGTAATTTAAGGTTTTTGAAATATGTAGTTAAATTAAACACAATTTTTCATATAGTTAAGCGAATGATGGGAAATAAAAGATATAGATGGGGTGTGGTGGAAGCATCGTGGTCTGGCCACAAGCGCTGTCAACGTTGTGTGGATTCACTGGGTGGTTTGGAAGTGTTTATTTCCATTCATACTTTCGTAACTACAACCTATGGTAATTTTTTCTTCGTGTTCATATATAATGAAGATAATGCAGAATATAATGCCATATACAATATTTATACATAATATCATCTATACAGCCGTACTATGACTGTGTGTGTTCGTGCGTGTGTTGCCTCGTGATAGTTAGAGTGAGCCTCCGTCCAGAAAGGACACTGTTCTAACCTCCAGTACCGACCCAGGTGGTAAACTTAATTTAATCTGAGTTGTGTTAGGTTAGGTTAGGTACATGCACTCGATCCATTAACTCAGATTAAATTAAGTTTACCAATTTTTTGTGACTTCGTGACACCAAATACCAGTCGAGAAGTGATTGGCAGTCCGATTTATTCATGTAGGACCATTATTTGACTTCATTGCGGCTACCCGGGATAGTGGAAGGGAGATGGGGGGGGGCGACCTGTCCCAGCAGACCCTGACCTACTGATCTCCTTTACGACAGTAGGAAGTAGGCCAGGAATACTGCAGGTCACTAGTATATTACATTAGTATAATATATGCCTTACTATTTAACGTAATGACCAAGGCGTAATATATGACGCAGAAAGTGACGTAGTAATATGACGTAATCTATGACGTAATATGTGTCACCCCTAAAGAAATAAACATTGCTGATATTCCCAATAAATATTTACTTAAAATTACATAGTGTGTAAATAATAGGAGGAGAATGATATTACCAGGTGTTGCAAGGATAATTACTATTGCGTACTAGGAAGTGAAAGAAAACCTCATCGTCCTTGTGTTGTCAATAGGAATTACCACGTAGTGTCGTAACCTTGGTAAGAAATAGATGGAGTTACTCACATCAAGTTGATTATATTTGTATTCAGTAATTACATAGTTAAACGATTATTTTGATTATATAAGGGTTTAGGTGTAATAAAGCTTCTTGTTAGTAATTATTATGGCGAAAATTAAAGTGCAGAATGGGGTGCGCGTCAAGTAGGAGCAGGTGGCAAGTGTACTGTATGTTCTGAAATTTTCATAAGTTGTTTTATTACACACACGCATTCTATGGAAGACACGAATAATTTATCAATGGTCATTATTTTATTATGTAATTTTTCTAGTGTTTCCAGTAGATTAGTTTAGTTGTGTTTATTTATATTTAATCTCGTCTGGTTACCAATGTGTTCCCAGTGGTGAGATTAACTAGTGTGTATGTATGTAGATGACGAAACGAATTACGCCTAACTAACGTGTCTTTATTTCTTCTTTCCTCCAGCCTGTGCGTTCGTGTGGGTGACGGAGACAAGCGAGAGACGAACTGCGCCCTCTCCCTCCATCTTCCTCTTCGGCAGTAAGCACTAAAAGCTGCGTGGAGCCCTGACCCGGGGAGATGGGTAACCACAGAACACTCGGGACCAGAGAATGGGCGTGGGTGTGTGTGGGCGTGTTTCTCTTCCTCCTAGCCACCGCAGCTGCTCAACTCGATAACGAAAATTCTATATTAGGTGAGTTAGGATCGAGTGTGCTTCATGTGGTAGGGTTGCCATACGTCCGTATTTTCCCGGACATGTCCTCCATTTAGGTCTCGAAATCTTCATCCGGAAGGAATTTTTAAAATTCTTCAAAAGTCCGGAATTTCAGCTTCCATCATTTTCTCCACGGAAAAAAAAACATGAAACTGTAATGACGGGAGAGAGAGAGAGAGAGGGAAGGTGGAAACCGTAGAGGTCTCGTTCAGTTTTCGTCAGCTGATAAGTCACTTGTACGCCTGTACGGTGTTGTCAACTTAGCTGTCAAATATTTGATTGATAAGGGGGTAGAAGTTGATGAAGTGTTTTGACCAAGTTAGTAACCTGAAGCAGTTTGTGGAAAATTACAAGAGTGATGAAGAATTTAGTAATCTGCCAACACAAAAAGTGGACCAGATACTTTGAAAAATCAAACATTGAATGTCACTCAGAATTGCACAATTCTTCTTTGCTATATCATCTCACAATGCAAATGTAGAAAGAGTTTTTTCCACTGATGCAAAGTCAATGGACAAAGGAAAGGAACAAATTGAGTGTTGAAACAATGAAAGGCATTCTGACTGTACAGTACAACTTTCGAGAAACACCTTGCAGTGACTTCTACACCTTTCTAAAGAGCAATCAGCCAATACTGAAAAAGATCCGATCTACAGAAAAGTATGCGTGGGCACACCACACACAGTGGGGGGAGAAGACTGCAGCTAAGGGAATGAAGATGTTCAGCCTTAAGCAAAGGTAATTTTTTTTTTTAAAGATTTCTATACCATGTATGTTGTATATTAGCCTGTGTGTGCCGGGCGGGGGGGGTGTCTTCAGGAGCGTCCTCTTTTTTGAATGTTCAGATATGGCAACCCTATCATGTGACCACCTGAGAGTGTTATCTTATGTTCTGTCTGTCTGTGTGTCTTTATATACAAAATACATATAGTACCAAAAATATACACAAATTAGCAGTCGTGTTGAATATTAACCCCAAAATCGAATAATGTATTAGGCTTCAGTTGACTCATTAGCACAAACTATAAAAGACGATTATGATTACATTGCAACAGGAACCGAACCACTGTCGTGACACACACACAAACAAACATTGTGTTCGACATTGTGGGAATATTTTCAGGGGAGGGGGTATGTTTTCTTAGTGAACTCTGATATGTTTTCATTCTGGACTCTGGTTGTGGTTTCTTGACAACATGAGACAAGACCCCAAACGATTAATGTTAAAGGCGAAGAGATAGTATTTATGTTGTTAGTAAATTAGGTACTAGTTCACTCTTATGGCTCTGTCACACTCCATTCCCTATTTTATGTTACTCCTCCACTCTAACTCACTCCATGCTGTACACTCCACCACACTCCACGTCTCCACTCACTACCTCCTGTAACTAACCACACGACGAACTCAATAAATTATCCATTATTTAACCAAACAGACAAGTGACTTTAATCATTTTTTTTTCTTAAGAGTAGCTATGATGTTTAATTTTCACGTGAGAATTTTTTCCGTTGCTTTTATTTGAATTTTAAAGAATGTGACACTGTTTTCCTCTTGATTATGAGCGCTAGTGTAACCGACCAGAGTTGAAGTACTGGAGGGTTATTGGGCCGTGTTTTGTTTTGATCTGAAGACGTCAAGTTATCGTGTTGTTTTAATGATAAAGTTTATGGTGTAATTTGATATATATTTTATTTTTAATTAATCTCAGGTTAGGTCTAATATTTTTTTTTTTACTATTGTTGTTTATAACCTTTAAATATTCACTTAAAGTTGGGACTTATTTTATTTTTTTGTTTGTGAATGGTAACGAGTTGGGTGTTTGATGTATGGTTTACAATACATCTAAAATTGTGCATATATTAAATCCAGGTTGAGAAATGGATAATATATTTTTTAGGGGGGTAGGGGGGCCCGTCCACTTCATCATAAATTGAGGTTATGATACAGTGGAGGGCGAGAATGTCGATGATGTGCGATATTTCTTATATAACACGAGTATAGAAGCTGTCAGTCAAGGCAAGTACCGAGTTAGCGAAGGACCGAGTTACTCCTCCACAATGTTGCCAGTTAACCAAAGCTATGACTGAGTGTGTGAGATATGAGGTATACTTATAAGGAAATATAACCCATAATAAAACCAAAAAACATTCTCCCTCTTTGGAATGTGATAGATATTGGACATGAATTCTACTGTATACCCCTCATGAATGTAGTAATGTCCTACTCATGAATAAACATACAATGCAAACATTCTCTTTGTATGTTTAATAATCTGGTTTTCAATGTTAGGTTAAAATTTCACGTAGCCAATACAGAGGTTTTCATCTCCACAATACACATAAAGTTTCTGTGAATGTAGTGGCTTATCATGACACAGAACACGAGGGTTGAGGCGGTACTAGGGAGAGGAGGAGGGGGGGGTAGAGACACGCTTGGACTTATAAATCCTGGTCATGTAATAATCAAATATTGACAGTAAAGCAAAAAATAAATAAAAAATGCGTATCAGTACTAAACCTGGGTAAAATTATCTTAATTATATTATTTATCAAGTAAAGTAAATCAAATGATGCTAGTATATTATCATTGTTTTTTGGTGGTTAATGAAATAAATATGATATAGAATGTTCTTAGAGTTTAGTTATAAGCTGGTGTGTGTAGAGGTTGACTTAGGTGTGTCGTCTACAGGTCTGAGGTCAAGATTGCCACAGGTAGATCAAGAGGTCAATGTCACCTCTACACCTTACTGACCTCTCTGTTGACACACCTTTAGCCTTTACCTGTCCTCATTAACCATTACCTTCCCTCTAAGTGTTTTGTACTTCCCATGGCTATAGCATATCTAATTAATTCTTCAGGTAAAGTATCCCTGCAGGTAATTTCCTCTCATCCTGGGACTAATTAACACTCGTGTCCTCTTCCTACAGGTGTGTATATGGAGTCAGGTATGGTCCAGGGGCGTCGCATCCCTACACAGGAGCTCGTCGAACAGGTGGTGACGGAGAGCTCGGGCGCCATGACGCAGGGGTCGCTGACGGTGCAGTTCCTCACCTCCATGAACGACTCTATGCCTGAAGAGATGACGGGGGTGATGACGCTCGCCTCCTGCTCCAACACTCACATGTGGGCCCCTGGGCTGGCGGAGATGGGCAAGATGCATATAGCTCTTACTGGTGAGAGAGAGAGAGAGAGAGAGAGAGAGAGAGAGAGAGAGAGAGAGAGAGAGACCCTTTCATCACTCCATGTAACAATAACCAACTAAATATTTACATAACATCATCACTACACACACACACACACACATCGTTTAATACAACACTGAGGTAATCTGCATCAACTTAACCTAACCTCTCTCTCTTCTCCCTTCCTCTACCCGAAGCTTCAGTCACGTGTAAAGATCAGTGTTGACAACTGATACCTCACATGTATACAGAGATCAAATATACATGCATGTGGATACCTTAAATATGTATATTGACTCTGTGGCTTTTGTGGTATATGTACAGTATGTGTATAAAGTATTAAAGGTATATTTGTATACTGTGGGTGTATGAATGATTGAATACTGAAAGAAACTCGCGTATATGAAGTTTGGGGAGAGTAGTGTATATGATGTGGTGAGGAAATGTGTCCTCTTACCTGTGTCCCATCACCTGTCCCCTCACCTGTCTCCTCACCTGTGTCCCATCACCTGTCTTCCATCACCTGTGTCCCATCACCTGTGTCCCATCACCTGTGTCCCCTCACCTGTGCTCCCTGCTGTCCTCACCTGTGTCCCTCACCTGTCTCTCACCAGTGTCCCCTCACCTGTGTCCCTCACCTGTTCCCTCACCTGTGTCCCTCACCTGTGTCCCTCACCTGTGTCCCTCACCTGTCCCCTCACCAGTGTCCCTCACCTGTCCCTCACCTGTGTCCCTCACCTGTTCCCTCACCTGTGTCCCCTCACCTGTTCCCTCACTGTGTCCCTCACCAGTGTCTCCTCACCTGTCTCCTCACCAGTGTCCCCTCACCAGTGTCCCCTCACCTGTCCCCTCACCTGTCTCCTCACCTGTCTCCTGACTCTGTACCTGCACACTATCAATTCTTTATCACATGAGGGATATGTTCCGCCTACTGCCGTGGTCTTGACGCCCTGGTGGTGACTAACATGAATAAACAGACACGAGAGTCACTTCTACACAGTCAGTCAGTGAGTCAATGTGTTTCTTCTCCGTCAGTGACTCTCTCAGTGACTAAACCATATATAGAGCTAACTGGCACTACTTAAGAATAAAACAGATAGACTTAAAATGATTCGTGTTTGTATTTAGATAATGTAATTGTGTTTGTATCAAGTCGTGGTGTGGGGGTGGACGTCCATACACTTGTCTCTGGTAATAACAGATCTTAGCAATGTATTACGTCAAGAACAACATTGATTCAGTGGTGTGTGTGTGTGTGTGT